TATTGCTAGAAGTGCTTGCCCATTTATAAAATGGCTGTATTGGGAACATAACCAAGCCATCGTCAGTTTCTTGGAATACTACTTGCCACTTCCTTCTTTTGTATTTTCATGTTTATAGTTGCCTTGTTAAGGAAGCAAAGAAAATTTCCCAACAAAATACAGCCACCCATCTTTTCTATTTTTAACAAATGATTAGTGGGCCTAGCATCATTCTTGTATATAAAGGTGATATTGAAGTTGATGCTTTGCAACATGCCACTGTCCCATTACTAATGAAAATTATATTTTAAAAAGGCAACGGGCAGGAAGCTGATGGGACATCAACGGAAGTGTCTGTGGACGCATTGAAGTCCTGAGATCTACTTAGGAAACCCCAGACAGATAACAGATCATCCGAATTGGAAGGGACCTTCTAGGTCAACTAGTCCAACCCAAGCAGGAGATCCTTCACCATTTCTGACAGATGGGAGTCCAATCTCTTCTTGAAAGTCTCAAGTGATGGTGCTCCCACAATTTCCGAGGGCAAGCTGTTCCATTGGTTGATTGTTCTCACTGTCAGAAAGTTTTTCCTTATTAGACCTTTTAGTTAAGAATATTAATCATAGATTACAGCTGCCAACTATGACAAAAGTATATTATACTAGATCTAGTATACAATCTAGTATACTAGATTGCCTATTACATAATAGTACTTAAAGTTGCAAATAGCCATATGAAAACATAAAATCGTTTTAAACAGTTTTTAGATGCATACTATGCAGATGTGTTATTGGCCAAGTTGAGATTTCCTGTCATATGTCTATTATTACCCGTATTTGTATGAAACACTTAATTGTACAGCTATCAATATAAAGATTCAGTAGATCTTAATCTCCATATTTGTTAGCAAAGCTTAAGGATGTAATTACAACATCAGTGCCTGAAAAAGGGTGAATATATCATTGCTTGCAGTTATAAGCATCTGGCTGTGCAAGAATAGAACAGTGAAAACATTGAAAGGGACAAAAAGTATTCTTAATTATAGTACAGATGGAAATCTACAATGTTATTCTATCTACATTACTCTGTGAAAATCAAATTATGACATCAATAAACAAAAATGAATGATTTATGATATAGATTTAGATTTTTGTCCAACCAAATGTGAAGATTATTGATATTTAAAAGCAATTTCCTTTGTTTTATAGACCAATTCTGGTTTTACACTTAGGACATATAGGACATATATAGAGTCCCAGAAATTGGCAAATTCTGAATCCTGAAGGCTATATTTGTTGGAAGCTATGGCATTGGAAAATAATATTGTGACATCAATTAAAAGTCACACATTTTTCTCATCTCTTTGTTCTTCTTGTAACTTCTCCAATTTTATGCATGAATCACTGTTTTTTCTATTGTAAACAATTGATAGGATGTATTTAGTTTATTTATCGTAAATTGATCTTCCATTTTTTACTTTTTTTAATTTTACATCTATTCAATATTTCATACAGTTCTTATACTGGCTAAATGTGTTTGCTTGTCCATGTAATTAGGTTTTTTTTAAAAGAAATGATACACCAAAATTGTTCTTTCTTTTGTGAGATATTTTATAATGTCTTATTCTCAGGTTAAAAAAATAGGCTCTTCCCTTGTAGACTTTGGATGCCACTGATATTTGAAGGTTTCTAATGAAATCTATTCAATGCAACAAGTAATAGGAAATAATCCATATATTTGTATAACAGTAGGAAAAGTTTGGGGGTGGTTTTTCTTTTCTTTTTTTAGTGGAAAATTAGGCCTATCATTCAAAATAGGACATTTTTTCTCCTTTGCATACTAATACACAAACTGCAAGTTTAGCAATTTGATACAAATTGAGTTTGCTCTATTATTTTGCTGTCAATTAATGTGTCATAGTTCTATAGAATATACAGGTTCAGTTCCTTACTTTGAGGAACTTAACAGTGTAAAAATTAGTATAAGAAGGAAACATCACATGGAGGCAGTGATAATAAACCAACAGAAAGTATGCAAGCAATACTGAAAGGGTTTGTTGAAAATGAATCCACTTTGTAGCTGAAAAGGATTGATTATTGATTTGAATGGGTTATTTTGCTTGTTTTATGATTTGACTTTATGAATCTTAAGTATATTGGTTCAGATTCTCAGAGCTACGCTTGTAGTTTAAGGAATGTTAATAACAAGGTGTGTGTCTACCTTTCTGTATTTGCTTCTTCAGTAGAGAAAAACAACCTTATTACTATTGTTATGTAGAGAAATGCTGTTGAGAACTAAGAGCACAAAATATTGTTAAGGAAAAATTGTCATAATCTTAACTAATGTCTGTCAAGGAATTATAAAACTTCCTTTTTTGCAGAGAATGATTTATATTATATAGAATCAATGAATGCTTGTTTGTAAAAGAATAATTGTTGCTTCTCTAACTTAAAAGGGCTGTAGCACAGCAAACTATCACATGCTGAGATTTTAGGATGTGCTGTATTATTGCTTTGACAAAACATCAGATGTACATTCAGTCCTGCCAGCGTTACTTGGGCTGCGCAGCTGAAAGAGTATACTGAAAGAAAGTCAGGGACCAAAGCTGTTTTCATGAGGCATAAATCTTGTTTTTGGCAAGTAGTTTTAAATAATGAAATGCTAGTTTTGGGAGGTGCCATTCAAAATAGATGATCATTTTATGAAATATCCTTTTAGCAGAGAGAGACTTTTGATCCTGTTGTAACATAGGAGGACCTCTTTAATTGTAGGCCTGTTCCTCTAGATTCAGAGGAAAGCTTTCTGTGTTATTCACAGTCTACCTACCCTATATACAGTATACAGCAATTCATCAGCTGCAGATTAGAGGCAATATTTAGTTTTATTATCATTTTCCCATAGTTAAAGTGAATCTGGTTTCCCCAATTGACTTTGCTTGTTGGAAGTCGGCTGGGAAGGTCGCAAATGACTGCAAGATGCTGCAACTGTCATAAATGTGAACCGGTTGCCAATCATCCAGATTTCAATCACAGAACTGTGGGAGTGATCTGATGGTTGCAACCTCAAAGATGGGTCGCGATCCACTTTTTCTGGGTCCACTGTAACTTTGAACCACCATTAAACAAATGGTTATATTTAGAATAAAATAGCACTGGAAGGGACCTTGGAGGTCTTCTAGTCCAGCTCCCTGTTCAAGTAGGAGAACCTATACCATTTCAGATAAATGACTCTCTAGTCTCTCCTTAAAAACCTCCAGTGATGGAGCACCCATGATTTCTGAAGGCAAGTTGTTCCGCTGGTTAATTGTCCTCCCTGTTAGGAAGTTTCTCCTTAATTCCAGGTTGCTTCTCTCTTTGATTAGTTTCCAATCATTGTTTCTTGTCCTGCCCTCTGGTGCTTTGGAGAATAATTTGACCCCCTCTTCTTTATGGCAGACCCTCAAATACTGGAATACTGCTATCGTGTCATCCCAGATTCTTCTTTTCATTAGACTAGCTAAACCCAGATAAGTACTATCTGTATTTAGGTTTTAACTTCTTGCTCGTCAGTTACCTGGATTTTAAATAATAGTGTTTCGAACTTTAGCCTAAAAAGAATAGACAGTCCTTCATTCCTACCTTCCAATATTTTTTTAGTTGAACCCTCAGATTATGCTTAGTGTTTCACATTTCACCTACTTTGCTGAAGTAGTAATATGACTGATCTAGTTAAAACACCAAATATTGACCAAATAAAATTTAGCCTTAATTCTGGTATTTGAGAAATCTTGTCTTATATTAAAGAAGAAAGGAATTAAATTATATTAGTATTTTTTGTAATTCTAGAGTCGTTTATGGTGGTCTCTTGTTGATCAGAAAGGTCGGCAGTTTAAATACCTAGCATCGTGTAATGGAGTGAGCTCCCGTTACTTGTCCCAACTTTTATCAACCCAGCAGTTCGAAAGCATGTAAAAATGCAAGTAGAAAAATAGGGACCACTTTGGTAGGTAACAGCGTTCTGTGTGCCTTCGGCGTTTAGTCATACCGGCCACATGACCACGGAGACATCTTTAGACAGCACTGGCTCTTTGGGTTTGAAACAGAGATGAGCACCACCCCCTAGAGCCGGAAACGACTAGCACGTATGTGCGAGGGGGACCTTTATCTTTACCTTAGGGGGAAAAAATCATATAGAGGAAATACTCTTTCCAGCAAGCACAAGAAAAAAGTGACTAGAGGAAAATGAGACATTGCTGATAGATTTTTTGTTAAAAATGATTAAGGTGTAATAGATCAGATTCTTTGATTTGGATTTCTTGCAGAATCAAATTTAAATCCAAAAATTGGTTTTAAGTACTTTTTACCTTGACTTTGCAGTATCATAGGTTTAATTTCTAGCATCACTGATGATCAGTTTTATTGCTAATATTTTTGTTATTATCATATATTTGCAGCTACGTTTGAGGAAAAAATACTAGGACTTCTTTATCCCATGGGGAAATAATTCATTTTAATATGCCTTTGCATTTTTATATAGGGAAATGTATTCAACATCTTGGGAAACATTAAATATAGTATTTGTTCAGTTAAAGACATGCTGGGATATTCATGTTCATCATGGAACTGTGGCAACAAAGTCAATCAGTTTTGTTACTTAATATTTTTATCCCACTACATAGAAAAAAGTTTAAAGAGAGATCAATTCAAAACTAGAAAGGAATAGTATGACTTGTAAGTTACTATTTATATCTAACTCAGGGCAAGTTGTTTCTTATCTAAATAATAAATACACACCCTTAGTCCCTTGATGAATTGATGAGGCCCAACACAACTGCTGTCCAATTATAGGTTTAGTTTCAGTAGCTTTTATACATTCTGGAAATTAACATCTGAGTTCCTGCTGCTCAAGCTGAAAAACCTTCTGAAAGTTGCATGTTTTAAAATTGGATTTCAAAATTTGTCTTTCCAAATGAGAAAATTTCTAATTCAATCTCAAAGGAGCCATTCGTTAATTTTAACATTCCACGTATGTTCGTTCTTCAGCATGCTGGATTATGACACGGAAAACCTAAATTCTGATGAAATTTATAGTTCTCTTCGTGGAGTCACAGAGGCTATAGAAAAATTTAGTTTTCGTAGCCAAGAGGATCTGAATGAGCCAATCAAACGTGATGCAAAGAAGGACAGTGATATTGTAAGTAGACATTGAAAGAATATGTAATTTTTGTGTGATATATTGAAAGCAGTGATCAATAATATTTAGATGAATAGTTTGCTATTTTCAACATCTCCTACATTGTTCAGTTTCAAGCAAACAACACATGGGTGATTGATTTTATCAACTGGGTATTTTTTATATTTAATAGTTTGACCCGATCTGCTAGATTGTGTAGGAGAAGAGGTCTGGGAGCAGAGTCAAAAAAGGAATCAGCCTGGAATTATTATATTCCCACAAGCAAGCCATGTTCAACACCCCTTGAATTCTGTTAAATCTTATCTAACAACAATTTAGTGCTGACCGTAGTTGGTTAGATTCTTGGTAGGTTTGAGCAATAAATTAGTCTGACTGGAAGTAACTTGTGATCCTGATTCTTCCTGCCTGACAGAACGCTAGATCCCGTAGTAATAACCTATTTTAGGAGCATCAGTTTGAGATATGCTGATGTACACATATATAATACATATACAGTATTGTTTCATTTTTTAAAAAAATATAACTTTAATTCTTTATATTTGCCATTCCTGCAATGGAGAACATGATGGGGAAAAATCACATTTTTTCTTATAAAACTAAAATATATACACTTTCTGTACTGAATTGTAAAATTATATGATTTAATACAATTTTTTTCACTAGAATCAAATGCTTGATATATAGTAGTTCTGTGCTCAGAAAAAGTGGGGGAAGAAGGAAAGGGAGGTATGTATGTTTGTATAGGAGGCTGTCTTGAGACTATTCCGAATACTTGCTCACACATACATTTTCTGGTAGCCAAATGAAGCAGTTGGATTTATGCACAGAAACACCTAAGTGAATGAAATCCAGGGTGCTCATTGAAGCCATGCCAATTATCATATGTTGGATTCAAAAATTTTATAATTTTCTTCCTCTCCTCAACATTGGCAATAAACCCAGTTCACAGTTTTGTTCAATATTATTTAGCAGCTGCAGAGAGAAGGAATAACAACTTATTGGAATGGCTGCAGTCAATGAAGAAAACCTATATTTAGAAACTGTCTGTTTGAAATTAGGGTTTAGTGCAAACAAAGTTCGAATTTATTTAGTCCTACTAATCAGATTCAAAATGGGAAAAGACTGCTGTTTGCAGTGGTTTAACCTATTATCAGATAGAATTGCCCCTTCCAGCTTAATGGAAATTGGTCGCAATAAAGTCGTCTTTCTTTGATCTATTGCTACAGGTTTCCAGAGATGATGGTATAGCCTCACCAGCCACTGATTTGCGTGGAAGCAGTGATGTGGTGGAAGGAGGAAGGATGGCTCTGGATAACAAGACCTCCCTACTCAACACCCAGCCCCCACGTGCCTTTTCTGGACCCCGAGCTCGAGAGTACAACCCTTACCCCTACTCTGATACTATCAGCGCCTATGATAAAACTGCTCTTAAGGAAGCCGTATTTGATGATGATATGGATCAGCTTCGGGATGGTTGGTTTTCTTTTTTTTTTTTTTTAAATTCAGTATTGAACTTTTCGTTGCTTTAACATTTTCACATCGGTGTTAAACTGTTACAGGCTATCACTCTGACGCTAGCTTCTTGAATTCAGTTTACATCATTTCCTTAATCAGCCTTGCTGGAACAAGTAAAAGTATCTTGCTCCTGGGCAAGAGATTCAGCTAGGTGGTACAGCAGCCACACAGCTCATCTTTCGATTCTAATAGTGAGACTTGAGCCCTGACATTTTGTAAGCGGTCTTCCATGTTCACATCAGTAAAGGAGACAGGCTCCAAAAGTCATTTCTTTTGAACTGAAAGCTATAGCTGGTTAAACGAAAAGCCATGGGAACAAAACCTTTGTATGTTTTCATCTGGCTCCCCTGCCTTCCCAGAATTGCTTTATAAGCAGTAACAATAACTTGTCACTATAACATAGTGACAAGTGGTCACACTGAGAACCAATTGTTAGAGAATGAATATATTTAGATTGTAGATCAAATCTTTGTACTTAAGGACTCGAGACAGATTGTGGTTATAGACTAGTTAGAAATATTGTGAACCTGTCCTACCGTCACCCGTTTAAAGTTCCTGCTTCATTTTCTGTGCTGTGAGATTACTTTCCCACTTTTTTTTCTTTTCAGTGCCCATTGATCATTCTGACTTGGTGGCTGATCTTTTAAAAGAATTATCCAATCATAATGAGCGGGTAGAAGAACGGAAAGGAGCCCTCCTTGAGTTGTTGAAGATTACAAGAGAAGATAATCTGGGAGTTTGGGAAGAACATTTTAAGACAATTTTGCTTTTATTACTTGAAACACTTGGAGATAAAGATGTAAGATAATGCCATAGGCTTGGCTATGCCTCATAGATACTTACCACCTACACTGTCATTGCAGCCAAAGTGGCTAATGTTTAGATGGTGTTCTCTGTTTTTTGTTTTAGTTTTAGTTTAATCTGGCTTCCACAGTCTCAGAAAAGCCAACCAAAAGTTATCTAATCCCCACCTCCAGTTTCTCTGAAGGAGCATCCCTCTGATACTGTGACACTTGAAATTTGTATTCCTTGAATGTGTGGTGCCTTTTGGCACCCTGTTGCTGTGCTACTCACTTCCTCTACCAGGCATCTCTCCAATTGAGGAGGGGACCCATCACAGAGTACTCAAGATGCCCTAAAAAGCTGATCCTGATAGGATAGGGGCATCAGTATGGATTTGGAGACGGGTGCTGCTGCCAAAGAATAATTCTACCAGCAACACATAGTCTGAGAATGAAATGTAATATGCAGAGTCCCTTTAAAATGTTATATTAACTTTAGTTTGGTTTTAATCAAATGTAATCGGCTTGAAATTAAAGTTAGTTTTTGCTCTAGCCCTGCCTAATTTTCAGAGCATTGCCTTTGGCAAATAACCCAGTATATAAAGACTGGGTTGTCCTTAGCTCCCCAAAGTTGCAGCTATGCCATTTGATAGCAAGATGACACTTAAAAAGCTGGTACATTTATTATTGCAGAAATTAGTCTTGCCCAAACTGGATATCCATGCTGAGAGATTTTGGAAAGTTTATTATTGTGTATATTATTTTATGTAAACTTGTATGCCTCCTAACTCACAGTGATTCTGAACAGCTATAAACTTTTGTGGCTTAATTAGACTATTATTTTTCCATTTGAGTAAGCAGAATTGTCATTGCAGTTGCTATGAGATTACACACATGTCAACATTTTAATTTAGTATTTGAAATATTTAAAGAAGAAACTGTGTTTCTTCTTCTTTTTGGGTAAGGAAATAGATATGGTATCTTTTCAGTGGCCTTTGAATAGATGAAAACCACATCAAAAGCAAGCAAAGCCAATAAACAATTCACCACTCAGCCAGACCCAAGTGTTCTGCAATTGAGGATGTAGTCTCAATTATTTCATCCTCATAAATTCAAATTAACTTCTCCTGCTACAACCCCCAGTCCATGGACCAATATCTGTCTGCAACATGTTGAGAACTGGGCCACACAAGCTGGTGATCTAGTTTGTGCGCATGAAACCATCCCCCTGCCGCCGCCACCACCATCAATCTGTGGAGTCTGAACCATTGTGCTATAGGATAGATAACATCTACTCTATTTAAATTATATGACTATAATCTGTTTTCTTATCCATCCTTTTAATAAAGGCAGAGTGCCTCAAAAATGAGAATGAGGTGGATGGTATCTAAATTTGATAAGTAAATAAATTAAAACAGGACCAAACACAAATTCATAGAACATAAGTACTTTCAGAATAACATGCTGAAAGCAGGTAATAAAATTTGGATTTGTTATTTTTTTGCCATTTGTTTCTATCAGTACTTCTTGTCATTGGATGTTCAAAGATTAAAATTGGGACGAATCAAATGTTAGTTGGGAGCCGCAAAACATGAGGACGTACTTAACAAAGATTCAGTCTGAGGAAGTTAAACCATATGCTTCTGGGTTGAAGCTAGTCAATGGTTGAAATGGCTTTCATCCAAAAGCATATCCCAACAATTGCATAACCTGAGCTGTTATTCGAATATTCTCACTAATGATCTTGGATAAAGATGCTGGTGACTAGGGAGGAGTAGGACTGTCAAGGCAGCAGAGTGAATGAAAAAACGAATACCGATCTCCAAAAGAAATGTAAAATAGATGTATTCGTGCAAAACATGGCTGCTTTAGCTTCCTGTGTAACTAATAATATAGTATTGGTCTTCATTACCAAATAAGATCCAAGGAAATGAAATTTAATTGAGTTTTTGGATTTTTTATGTATTTCAAAAAGAGACTGAATCAGAAATGGTTATGTAATAAATTTGTTTGCTATTCTCTTTGATACACAGTTCATTGGGTGGCTTATTTTAATATAAAAGCTCCCAATATTAATTAGCAGCTATTTAGTTCTCACGCAAAGAATGTGATTCAGTTTTGCTGATGAACTTGAGCCCATGATGCAAGGCTACTATGGTGTTCCCTTCTGAGCCTTGTCAATTTTTCTTGACTTAAAAAATTGATTTTATAAAATGTGTATCCATTCCAATCAAACAATGCATTCCTTATATTAATGGTTTTGAAGAGTGAAATGATGTCTTTAAGCCACCCAGAGTCGCTTATTAATGAGGTGGGAGGTATGTAAATTTAATAAATAAAGATGTGCTACTTCTTTTGATAATAGCATTCAATACGAGCCTTGGCCCTGAGAGTTTTGCGGGAAATTCTGAGGAACCAACCAGCAAGATTTAAGAACTATGCTGAACTAACTATCATGAAGACCCTAGAAGCGCATAAAGATTCTCATAAAGAGGTAATTCTGAGTGTCATACTATATACCATACTTTAAGAATCAATGTGTCTGTAGGTCATGCATTACTATTAATTTAAGTTTTAATGGAATGAAGAGAAAAGTAAATCATACCTTAATGGAATTCCTAACTTATAGCTCTGACTAGTTCCATATATTATTGACTGTGGCCCTAAATTTACTTTTCTTATGGGTCTGCATTTAAAGCTATCTCATGTGAAGGACTTAAGCTTGGGAGCCACCTTACAGCACATTATCTGCAGCCTCTGGAACAGGGGTGTGAAACTTATGTCGTCACAGCGGCATCACATGACTTTTTTCCACTTCATTAAATTGGGTTGGGGCGTGGCCAGCACGTGACGCATCTGGTTCATGGGCCATGAGTTGGACAGCCCTGCTCTAAGACCCACAAAACCTTTTTAATGGGTATACGTTTGAGAATTTAATAACCAAAATTAAGGCAGCCATTTTGGTTTAGTTTATCCCAGGTTTTCCCAAATGAAAAATGAAAAATTGTCCATAAGTCAAAAATTTCAGATCCACCTACTTTGCAGATATTCCTTAAGCAGTGTTGTCGTTTCCCCAACACAAAAAAAAGGTTGCCATTTCTTGCCAGATGGCATTGCAGCTGGTGGTTTGTAATGTAACTGAATGTAAAGGAAGGAAGGAAGGAAGTGACAAATAAAATGAAATAAAGAATATGAAAACATTCAAGCTATTTCAATACCTTATGTTTTATGTTTAACCCACACCAGATTTTCTTAGGGTGATTTTTTTTTAAAAAAACAAAAGCCTAGCTTTAGTCCTGTATATATTTTTGCACATTTTACATCATGACTCTCCAGATTTATTACAGGACTGTAATCTTTCTAACTGAAGGCAATTTAGGGTATGCAGTTCTGTATAGAATAATGAAAACTTAAATACAGAAACAAAAGAGAGAGAGAGCGCTTTTGGTCATAGAATAGGAATAACAGAATAAGCTGCACTATACATCCATTTAGCTGTTTACAAGATTGTGGTTTTAAATACATGATGATTTACTCAGTTAAATAAGCAACATGGGAACAAAGGCATAAGAATTGTTTTGAAAGGTCAGGAAATATTTAATCCTTTTAATAAATCAGTATGTCTTTATTATGTTTTCTTGGAATCAGAGTCTTCATACAACAACTTTCTGTGTATGTGTAGCCACAATTAGCAACAGTTGTAACAGATTTTGCGATAAAGCACTTGGACAAAACATTTTGTTCTTAAGGAGTGCCTTTGTTGGCAAGATTCTCCCCACTGTGCATTCTTATTGTCTCACCTTTGACTTTGTGCCCTTGTCCTTTTCTTTGTGAATTACCTGTGCAAATGATTGAGAAAGCTTGCCATCTCCAGCGTCATTTATTTTGGTTAAATTTTTGTATAAACTTTTTGCATTGCAGCTGGTAGTTTGTAATGTAATTGAATGTAAAGGAAGGAAGGAAGAAAGGAAGGAAGGAAAGAAGGAAGGAAAGCTTTATTTGTTTTTTGTACTTTGAAAGAAAGAAAAGGTTTATTGAATATTGGCAATTGAAAGAGCTGTAGGGTAAATTTTTCTCTTTTTTTCCCCATCTTGCTTTTAGAGACTTATCTTTTCCTATTTCTAGAAAAATGGTTAGTCTGGCATATCTTATTCATTTTACTATGGAACTTACATTCAAGAGAATTATTGTACCCAAGTTGTGCTTTTTTATTAATAGAAATGGTGGGTCCTATTCCATATATCTCTGAGCCTGGCTTTGCTAGTCTCAGAGATATATGGAATAGACCTCACTGGAGAAATTTATAATAATGAAAAGGCCAGATTCCAATAGAAATATTTAAGAGACACAATAGTACTTCTTTGAGAGAACTTAGCATTTATTTCTACAGTATTTTCTTCCTTCTTTTTTTTAAATAAATCATCCACTGATAAAAGGGCCTCTCTTTTAATGATTGACATGTTTGTGGTGCATTTTAATGGCAAATATTGTTGAAAATCTTTCGAACAATGTCTAATGAATCAGCACTGTCTACATATTCTCAAAGAAAACTGGTAGTCAGCAAGACAGGTTTTAACTTAAGGGAGCAGTGCTGAAATCTTCTTCAGAAAGATTTTTCATTCTGTTTGTTTAATTTTTTTTATTTGAAGAAAGATTTTTACAGTTAATCCAGAATATATATATATATATAAAAGCAATTAGCCTGTAATTTCCTGGATCTCCAACATCCCTTTTACAATGATATTATCATACACTTTTCAGTACTCAAAATAACTGATCGTAAAACTGTTGTAAAGTTCTGCAATTTTAAATAACTTTGCTTTAATACAACTTCCTTTATTTACCACATTGTGCCTCAAGTCCTTGGACTAATTTCCTAAAATTAACTAAATTACGATTAGTACTGTCCTTTATCTTTTGTACTGAAAACAGACACAAATAATTGTTATAATTCTGCTTGTCTGCTTTTATTATTCCTTTTCTTTTATTGTCATCCAATTGCCTCCTTTTATCTTTTTCTCCTTTTGACATATTTAAATATTTTTATTGTTTATTATTAGCAACACAATACTTTTTTGTGTTTTTATTTGCTTGCTTTTCCTTAGCAGAAGTATCCTTTTTTGTTCTCATTTTAGAAGGATTTCCATTTCTTAAGGAATATCCATTTCTTGGATTCAATATCTAGTGTATGCTGTCCATTCTACTATTTTATTATGTTGTAGTAATGAAAACAAGGAAATAAGGGTATAAACCTTGGACACAGGATAGATATTGTTTGCCTGGCCAAAGGCTGAGTTCTTTTTTTTTATGTTTACTCTAATTTGGGTTATCATTCTGGGAAAGAAATGAAAACCACTCCCCTGCTTTGTCTTCTTCTTATTTAAATACTCATGGATTGTGAGTGTTTACTTGGGCTTTTATTGAGCTAAAAGGAAATATACTAAAATTTTAGTATATTCTAAGTATATTTTCTTCCAAAAAATTTGGAATTAACCATTTGTCTGAAGTATATGTCTAGAAATCATATTCAGAAGGATGGCTGTCCTATTGGTCAAGATCTTACCTTGAACACTATTTCCAAGTCAGAACATCACACTTAATATGGTGGATCCACACAACCTGAAACTACACAAAAAAGGATCAGAATGATCAGAATGACTTTGGGAGCTTACATTCTAGAACTGAATCTTTAGCTTTTCAAAAAGTCAACTGGAAGGAGAATGCAGTAGCATTCTTCAGGCACCTAAAAGCTCAGAAGGGAATCCTGACTTGTTCTCTGTTGTTCCAAAGTGTAGGACATGGACTAACGATTAAATTACAGGAAGTTACATTCAAGTGTAAGTTAGGACACAGAAATAATTTTCCTAATAAGACCACCTAAACAGTAGAATTTCCCTTTGCTTTAAGCAAAGGCTGGATAGAAGATCGCAAAGTTGGCCTTGACGAGCTCACTGGGCCTTTCCCATTTTTTGATTTTGTATAATTTTACAGTGCAAAATTATCAAAATAAGTTAACATTATCTATGTTCTATATTTTTGGGCTTCATTTTATACTTCAAGCAGCCTTTACTCTAATGGGTGTACAGTAGCCAAACTGTATTTTCTTCTTTATATTATGTTTGTACCAGTTATTATGAGTGAAATGAATGAAATAAATACACACAACATGTATGGAAGAGTACATATATGGGAACTGTATGCATATGTATTTATGTTATGGATGATTTAGAATGCCACTGAAAGAAAATGTATTGCTACTAACATATTTAATCTGTTGAACAAGTGACTGAATAAAAATATTGAAGACATCATTCACATCTGAATAACATTAGAATAGGCGGCCGTATTGCTGTGCAAAAATCTATCCTGTGCTGCACAATTCCTTCTGCAGCTGTTACATATGTATATAGAATATGCAAACCAGAATAAATTCTGGGTAGAAAATTCACCTTTTTATTTATGCTGGATATCTGAATACATTCAGACCAAAAAAAGCATTTTGACAGATATATTAATTTGCTCTCCACTTATTACAAGGAAGATCTTCAGTTATCATCATACCCGAAAATGCAGAATATACAAGTTTAAGAAAAATCATTGGAATCAAAGTATGATGATGCCTATTTTCTCCTTATGTTTCCTTCAACAGTATGTTATTCTGCAATAATTAATTCTTCTTATATGTTTTGTAAATGCAGAACTAAGTTTCCCTTGCTCACCCACTGTTGACGGCAATGGCAGCATTTTTATAGTGTTCTGATAGAAAAATATATTCAGAAATATTCAGTTACTGAGACAATCGATATAATATAATAAGCTTGCAGTTGCCTATACCCGTGGTTCTTAAGGATGGAAAGGTATTACTTTTTGTAATGCCGTAACATTAACATTTCTCCATGCTTGCCTTTCTCACTATAGGTTGTGAGAGCTGCCGAGGAAGCTGCTTCCACTCTGGCTAGTTCCATCCATCCAGAGCAGTGCATCAAAGTGCTTTGTCCCATCATTCAAACAGCTGACTATCCAATTAATCTGGCTGCTATTAAAATGCAAACGAAGGTCATTGAAAGAATCTCAAAGGAGTCATTGCATCAGCTCCTACAAGACATCATCCCTGGATTGTTGCAGGTATGCATCTATGTATGGAATTGTTCAGTTGCTCCAAGCAACAAATATCATTTTTATTTATTTTATGTTGATGTCTCGCAAATTATAAGTCTTGCTAAATGGAATGAAATAATAATAGGAAATTAGAATGAAATGCATTTTCAGTGCAAATTAGGAACCTTTGGGCTAAGGACCTGTTTCAACCTTAAGTCCATCCAAAGCCACCACCACTCTTTCTGTCATTGCCAGCCATATTGCATCTCGTTGAGTAGAGAAGCAAATTGGGGGACAGAGATGGTAGAAACAAGTGTCTGTGGAATCAACTTTGATCCACCTGCATCCTTTCTGTGGCTCCACAGAGCAACTACTCTTGGTTTGAAAAACCATGCTCTTTTGTATGGAACATGTCTTTGCACAGAAAAAAAATGGATGGCTTCAAGGGCCAGTCCCAAAGGTGCTCTTTCAAGAGGACTTTCTTGTTTTTCTTTGAAGACATTTTGCTTCTCATCCAAGAAGCTTCTTGGATGAGAAGCAAAATGTCTTCAGAGAAAAACAACCATGGACAACCGTGGTCTGGAGGACTGAGAATCTCCATAGACTTTATGGCCAGTGGAGGATTCCTCTCCAATCCTCCCACACTCATCCCTGTTCTAAACTTAAAAACTCTTTATTGAACCAGTCTTTCTGCTTCTTTCCCACTGCTGCTTTAATAGCCTTTAGATGTGGCAACCAGTAAGACCCCCAACTCTTAAAAAAAATTTCAGACTATGTTTGCTATTTTCAGACAGCAGTCTGAAAATACCATCCTTTACCTTCTTTACCATCTTCACTAAATATTTCATTCAGACAAGTTTTTATTTATTTAGAGAAATTCATCCTGGAAACTTTCAAAAGTACAATCAGAAGAGTCACTCTGAACCTTCCTAGTTGTTTGATGAAGAAAGGTCAGTTTCTGCTAAATGGTTACAGACAGATTAAGTAAATTCTAATCCTGTGAGTGTTCAAGTAAATTTCTTGGAGTCTGCTTCTCTGTGTCTTACCTCCTCCTTCATCTGAGGCATAAGGCTTTTTACAGTCAATCTTAGCATCTGATAAGTTTCTCTCTGTTTTTAACTGACAGCTTATGAATCACCTCTCCAGTAAAAGGGTTGAAGCAGTGAAGGGAAAAGTTAATATAAACTCTGAGAATACAGACATTGTGTTGGTCAGGTTCCAAAGAAATCCTTCATTTGCACTCATTGTCTTTCTTGCCTCTTGCAGGCTAATTGAAGGTTGAAATATCTCACCTGATTTATTGTAGTTTTTCCTCCTCAACCAGCTTGCTTAAGGACAGGTTCTCCTGTCTTCTTTCTCTGTTCTATCTCATGGGGTGAACAGATACTGTAGTAGCTCTGAAATGGCAGTTGGAGGAGAAAAGGACCTTTCAGACATTTCCAAGTTCCTTTATTCCATTGTAAGACTCCAAAGGCCATTTTTCATGTTTTGAAAATGAAGTACTAGTTGGGTTTTTTTTATACAGGTTAGCTTGTATTATATACTTTAGCTCTGAACTACTTGTTCAGCTGTTCTTATTAGTCCTTCCTTGCTCCCTGTGTCAGATCTTCTGACTGAATGTTTTAGGTTGCATGTTTGTAAATCAGTTCATTTTATGTCTTTTAGTCATTCAGCATGAAAGTGTCCATGAGTTTAGTAACTTCAAGATATATTACATAGTGGTACATAATGATTTTATCCATTTAAAAGAGCATCTAACAAAATACAAGGTACCTCATTGATCTGTCTGGTTTTGTTAAGGAACAGGTACTTGCTTTAGAAAGAAATGAAATTCTTCCTATATGCCCTATGAGAGAATATCCTTTGTAAGGTCTCACATAATGCTAAACTTTTCTTTTCACTGAGATGCTAACTGACAAAGTATGCTGTCTTATTTTGGGTGACATTATTTAATTCTAAGGACACTGAAGGGTGACTATTGTTGAAATGCAGTTTTGCCAAACAGTAAAATAAAGCAGAAGATGAAGCATTCCGTCTGGGTAAATCAGCTTTGGGGGCATGGAAGCAGCACCTGAACTTAAAGAAAAAAAAATACTAAGTTGCTTACCAGAGACTAAAGTCAAACCAAGGCCACAAAGATGTTGAATGGGTTACACTTCGGCTATGTGATCAGCTTGATTTCCCCCCCTCCCCCCCCATTTTTTTTTTCAGTTGGTTTGTCATAGTTCATGGAATTAATAGAAATCATAAAAACTATGTAAAGAAACATGGAGTTGTGTAAGTTAGGGCAGCAAGTCATCTTGTCGAACTGGAATAAGATATTATGCATTACAGGAACTGGGCTTGGCTAGTCTAGTAAAGAGAAGGACCAGGGGAGACATAATAGCTGCCACAGAGAGGAAGGGGTCAAGCTATTTTCTAAAGGGCCTGTAGGCCGGACAAGGAATAATGGATGGAAACTGATCAAGGAGAGATTTAACCTGGAAATAAGGAGAAACTTTCTGACAGTGAGAACAATCAACCAATGGAACAGCTTGCCCTTGGAAGTTGTGGGAGCGCCATCACTCGAGACTTTCAAGAAGAGATTGATCTGCCATCTGTCAGAAATGGTATAGGGTCTCCTGCTTAGGTGGGGGGTTGGACTAGATGACCTACAAGGTCCTTTCCAACTCTGATTATCCGTTATCTGTTAAATGTGTAAAAATGTAAAACATGGCTTGCCTTATGAATAGTGTTCCCCAGCAAGGACTGTCCTAGTATCAGATAAGAATGGGGGGAAACTAAATGTATGGGCTGAAAATCCTTCTCCCAACAGAGGTCACTCTGAGCCCAAGGCATAAGCAAACCATAAGCTCAGTATACCTCTTTTTGTTTTATTATTATCTTTTCAAAGAATGATTTAATAGAATATTACAATTATTATTTAATGGCTGTGTACAAGCCAGATGCCTTTTGGTGAAGCTCTGCTTTAACAGAAGGAATATAGCCATTCTTGTAATTTAAATCAGGTATGCACAACTTACTATCTGTCATATTGCCACATAAAATCTGTCATGAACCAAACTGCATGCAATTGATTAAAAGAAGAAGTTACCATATTCTATTTATTTCAAACCTTCTTTTTTTTCCACGCAGACTGTCAAGGGAAGGTAGATAATTTTACCAGGGATCTGAACTGATTCATTGTAAAATACGTATAAAATTAGACTAGAGGGCTGCATAAAACCAAGCAATGGGACAATATACTTATGTGTGTGTTTGTTTATCTGCCGTATTTTATTCGACAGAGCAGTCTCTCCAAATAGCAAGCTACATGTTGTGATTTCTTCTTCTCCCATACCATAGTTCCTACATTTTATTATAAAATTAAAGCAACCTAACAACTATATGATAAATTGGAAACGTTTGCCTATTGATAGCAATTAATCATTTAATTACAAATAAAATTCCAGATAAATTTCTTTCCCAAATACTGCTGAATTAGGCCTGTGTTTTGGACTGTACCAACGGATTACTTTAATCACTAGCTTTTCTTCAGACTTAAATCTTAAACAAGCATGTGCAACTTCATTATATTCTGATCATTCCTAATTGTGACCTGAGCTGGTAAATACAAAAGAATAATATTCAAATAGCTCCACTAATAAAACTAAGGTAGGGAAGGAGATGAAAATATGAAAGCTAAAAAGACAAGTAATCAAACTTAATCAGCGGGAGCTCAATACGTTGAATAACCACAGATTTTGAGTTTGTTTTGGAGAAACAGAATGAAAAAGCCGTAGAAAAAGTATGGGAACTGTATCTGTTTAAATAGGGCTAAATGTTATTGAACTTAAGTGTCGCAGTTAATATTTGGTCCTAATACTACTTTAATTTCCATTTTTCTGCCCCCTGGCAGGCCATTCAACTATTAATATTGTACTTTAAAAGATGCATTATTACAGCAAAATTACTTAGAATCCCGGTTAGTATTTGAGTTTTGAAAACTGCAAGTATAGGAATTCTTTACAACATATGGTTGATTTGGTTTTCCTGGAATTAATTAGCCACAATGCTGCATTATAAAGCTGAATGAGTTTCTGTTTGTCTGCTGGAAGCTAACAGGTTACAGCTAAAAAAATTGAACCATCATAAATATGAGTCAGTTGCCAAGCATCCAAATTTTGATCACATGACCATGGAGAAACTGCAATGGTAGTAAGTGTGAAAAATGATCTTAAGTTACTTTTTTCAGTGATGTTGTAACTTAGAACAGTCACTAAATGAACTATTTTAGGTGGAGGACTACCTGTATTTAATTAACTGGGCTCATATGTCATTCTAGTCACTACCAACCCTGAGTAGCTTCTGTACTTAAAATATGTAAACAGGATTAAAATAATAGACAAGCCCATATCCTATACAGAATAATAATAATGATAATATAACTATTTTGTCATGGATCAAAACAACACTAATCAAATAAACAAACCTAGTTACCCAACCATATATATGTGTATTCGATGTATTGCATATGTATGTATCAGTAAACCTGTTGTCACTTTTGCTTTTAAACTGCAGTAGAGTCAGTTTGCAGTGATGCCATAAATACTGTATACTTCTTTTTAAAAAAGCACAGACAGATATGAATAGCGATACAGCTATTGAGGGGGGTTATACTTACTATATCTCCTTGGTGGGGAATGCCATGTATCCATCTCATTCGTCATTTGAGTTTCCTAAATTGAAAGAAAAGTGTTTTTTGATTCTCATAGAGTTGATGTCTTGCATCTAGGGTTATGACAACACGGAAAGCAGTGTTCGCAAAGCCAGTGTGTTTTGCCTCGTGGCCATCTATTCAGTGATTGGCGAAGAACTGAAGCCTCATCTTGCGCAACTGACTGGGAGCAAGGTATGTGTACCTCTGCTTCAAACTGTATTCATAGAATGAAGGGGGCAAGTCTTGAAATTGATAACTGAGGTTCCCCTCCAAAATGACATGAAATAAATGCATATCTCAGTCACTGATTTTGGTGGGTTGCTAGTTTTATGAATGGCAAAGTGTCTCCTTTACAAATATGTCTTTGAAGCAGCTAAACAAGTGACTTCAGTTTGTCACGCTTTTGGCAAATTTACACATAGAGCATTGTGACTTACCCAAAATAGCAAAGAACAATTGGAGAACCAAACTGGAAAAAAAGTTTATTTAATCATTTTGAAATCATAAGAAGCATACTTGGTATTTCTTAAAACCTGAAACCATTTACTTATTTAATGTAGGATATTCTAGTTTCAAATTTCTTACATATTATCCAAATTTATTTTGATTTCTTTTAAATGTGTTGAGCATACTTGAATGCATAAACTGAAGTGCTTTGAAGATGTTACCTAGTTTGGTAATGAAATGTCCCATCTCCCCCCCACCCCACCCCCCAAAGAGATCAAAGACCATCCAAATAATCACGAAACAAAGCAACTTTTATTCAGATTTTTGTCATTTTGCTGTTTTTTATTGATTGGGTTCCTTTTGTGTCCTTTCAAAAAATTTTAGAAGGTTGTTAAGAAATGATTAAGAGTATCTATCTATTTTTATTCTGTGTTTTCCAATATAATCAAGCACTTGTCAGAATTTTAAAGAAGCCAATTAACAGCTGCTTAAATGAACCCACACCGAAATACTACTGAAGCAGAAGGATTAGAATAATATTTTATCCCAGAAAAAAATATACAGGCAATCAAAGTTTCTTATAACTTGCTCCACACATTTAATTAAAATTAGAAGAATGTTCTCTACATATATTAGTACTCTCTAATGCAATACACATTCTTTTAAAATGCCTGCTTTTTTTTCTTACTGTAAAAACTCTTTTTGAATCCGGTGATTATAACAGCTGAAAACAACATTAAAGATGAATAGATGTAGAGCTGAACAAATCAAGAAGGTAGGATTAGTGATGTGCAAATAACCTTTAACTGATTTTAAACAATTTGTTTTGAAACCTATTTTGAAATTTGGGCACTGACAAGATTCTACTAATGGCAGAAGAAGACAGAGCTCAAAGGTTTCTTTCAAACTTTGAAGACCACCCATTCTTAGTTTCCTATAAAATAATGCCAGCCATAGTAAGAGACCAAATTCCTCTGCAGTGCCCAGGACATTCAAAAACAATACCCGGTATGCCAGGAGATGTGAAAGGGAGAATTGAGAATCAGCATGGGCATTAGGCACCTTGAAAAATATATCTTCTCAGAATGACAACAGCCTCTTTGTTTCCATGGATGTTGGCAAGTAAACAAGGAGCTGGCTACATTGATGCTCGTGAGAGTTAAGTCTGCAGATCCTCAAAGAAATTTAAAACTAAATTTAAAACTCATCATCTTATGAGTGCCAAAGTTTCTGATGTATTTGTTTATGTGATCCTGATCCTGAATCCACTTACAACGGTTCATTCCTTAGAAACATCTCGCTGAGGATAGATGTGCTGAAATCTGAGAACACAATTGTAATGGGAATCTGATGGAAAAGTAGTGCAGTATCAGTTACACTTTATCATACATCAAAACTAATGAAGAGCATCTGGATTTGATCAGCCTGGCAAGCTTCCCGTTTTTGAACTTCAGAAATGAACAGTAGAAGCTAACACATGGATTTCTTATTGGTAACGACAAAAAAAATTCTACAATAAAAAAAATTGCAAAATAATTTTTACAATTTTTATCAAGTGGTGGAATTCCATCCGCCCAAATAATTCTGATACTGTTCTACGTGCATAAACAATGCCCAGTTTCCCTTTTTTGGAGAAAGAGCTACTTCAGTACCTGCTCCCTCGATTGTGGCAGTATACAAATAGTAAAAAATAAATAACAGTGACCTGCTCTGAAATGAAATAAAATAACTTAAAAAACATGAACATTTCTCTTTTTTGTCCTTTTTCAGATGAAGCTGTTGAATTTGTATATAAAGAGAGCGCAGACGACCAACAGCAACAGCAGCTCATCCTCAGATGTTTCTACACACAGTTAATGGAGATCTTTGGACATATGTGTAGACATAGAAACAATCAGCTGTGCCTCTCAGAAACCTTCCCCTCATCAGCACGCACCATCTGCTGATGGAGGCCATGCAAATATTTATTGCAATCAGTATTTTTAGTCCTTTTAAAGCTTTTTATTGTAGGAGATTCTTGGAATTGAATATAAGGGAAGCAAGGCCTGGATTGCAGTTTTCATTAAAAACAAGGTAATAGTGTACTGTGGTTAAATGCATTGCATACTGTTTGCTAAGATCTGAAGTAGTCCCAGAGATGCATAACACGTTCGTATTTTATCAAACATATTTCTTTGATATTGACGGAGAGCTTGAATTTATATTAGACTATATTTGTATTATAGTCACACTTTTCACTAGCTACTCTAGTTCCCCCAATTTCTCAAGCATTGTTTTAAAAATGAGCTTAAAAGTTGGAATGGATTTGCATTCGTTTTCAGACATAATCTATCTATACAGGCTATAAAATCAAGCCGTTCCACTAGTTTTTTTTTTAACTAGAAAAAACCAATACCAATCACCTATGTGACAAAGGTTATGAAAATTCAAGAAATCCCAAGCAAATATGCAGCAGTACAATCTATACAGGGCAATGTGGTTAATTTTGTAGAACCAATTCAAGAGCTGCCTCTGCATCGACAACTCAGTTTACAATTTCTTCTCGATGTATTTCAACATATTTTTTTCCAAAATGTTTGAAATTGCAAACTACTCTTAATATTGATTCTAACCTACCTGACACAGCTTTACTGTTTGTTTGTTTGTTTTAACAGAGCTCTGTTTTGTTACAGTATTTATGGTATTCCTTCTGTGACAACAGATCTCTGTTAGCGTGCACTGAGCTCAGATGCACTGCAGTTGCCTGTATATTGGTCAAGACCTAATGTTGCTGTCAGAGAAAAGTGTCTCCTAGGAGATATGTGTGAAATTCTATTTCTGCTGCTTCGATGTTCCATGAGAAAATGTTCTTTTCAAAGCTCTGATTGGCTTCCTGGAGCTGCAACTCAGATAACCAGGCCTTTCTTCCTTAATAAAGGATTTCTTTCATTTGTCAACCATGTTCCTTAGCGTGACACTTGTTCTCTTAATTTTCACCTTCACTGATCAGGAGTCCTCCAGACTTTGAGTCCTTCAGGAGGATAGCCTTCTCCTCATCCAGTTCCTCAATAATTCAGTCAGCCTGAATTATTTATAATGGTCTTTTTCTGCACCTAACATATCTATCAAATTATTTCCATCTTAAGATGATCATACCCATACCTTGATTATTGTTGGCAGTGCTCAAAGGGCTAGCTTAATCTGCAACAATGTGCTTTCTTTTAAAGCTGTACTCCTGGGGAATGTAAGATGTATTTAAATGCTCTGGGCAAAAGGATTCTTTAGCTACTACTCTGTCCATGCTGATGGAAGTAGATCTGCATGTTGCTGGCACACAAAAAAGCAAGATCCGGTCCAAGTGTGCTCGGTTGCTTTGACTCTCGCTGCCTTTTTAGGCAGGGCTTTAACTTTTTGGAGAAAAACCAATGTGGTTTCCTTCAGGGTCTTCTCCATTGACCCCTTCCCTTTTCAGGCCATTATATCTGAAAATTCACACGGCTCCACCTGCCTGATACTCGTTTGCTCAGATGGGGATGCCTCTGTTGTTCGCAGGGCACATCAGTGTATCCAGGGCAGGAGTATACAAATCCATGCAATCTCTTTCACCATCCAAATCCTGTCCATTCCTTAATGTAGTGCTGAATTATTGGAGGCATGTGGCTTTCCTTTGAAAAGGTACACTATGTGTACTTGCTGGATTACAACACAACACAAGACTTTTCTATCACCCCCTGTTAGCTCTCGGCAACCTGCCTACGTAATGCACCATGCAACCTTGTCACATAAATCTTCTTTCTACCACCCTCTCAACCACTTTATTTATCAAGTGTAATGGTTCACCTAAAAGGACAACAAAGAAATATTTGTAGAATGCGGAAAAAAAGTTTGTTAACAGTAATAATGTTATAAATGGGAAGGGCAGGGTAACAAAGCTTATCAAACCAGTCAGCCATCAGAAAAAAAGTTTTTGGCACAGTGTTCATGCGCATGTATTTAATTTTAATTTTGGGTTGGTTGGTTTCTTTTATTTCTTGCGCTTTGTCATGTTACATCCATATCTGTATTTATATCTTATTTGTTTCACTTTGAGTGTATCATGGCAAATGTACAGATGTTTTTATGTTAACATTTACATGATAGAATTTGCTAAAAAAAATAATAATAATAAAACTTTCTGAGTTTGCCCTAGAATAAAAGAAAATAAATTTAAGTCCTTATGGGAACTTCTTTGCACAACTTCTTTGCATTTCCCTTAACAATGAAAAAGAACCTTTAAGATCATGTTGATGAAATGCTTGTACTGAACATAATTTCTTAATCTCCAAATCACAATTGAATCATACGTGCATATACTCTTAAATCTATGCAGGCTTTCAGAAAACAGATGTGTGTTTGAGATCAGGTGTTTGGTTGGGGAACCATGACTATGGCATGAAAGATGCATCAGAAAACAAGTTCTGCTTAATGCCAATCCAAATGGTCATTTTTATAGGGAAAACAAAGTGTAAAAATTACATGTTTACACCTAGAGTGCTATATTAACATGCTATGAAATGGATCTGCCATCACAATCACAAAATTCCCTCCATATTCATGTTGGATGCATTTTTCTTGCACAAAACTCTTGTAGATTTCAAAAATCTCTTCCACCTCAGCTACTTCACTGTATGTTTGCACCTATATGATGCCTTATGATCTTTGTATAATCCAGACACAATCCTCTTCTTTTGTTTATAAAGAAGAGACACAATTAAGTTTGTGTCTGTGTGTATGTATATAGCTGCAAAACATTTGATACAACCTGTGTTGGTACATCACCATGGAAATTCTTATTCCTGTACTGACCTTTTGACCATAGCACATTAATGTCAAGCAAGCCAATCTGGTTTTTATCCTATAACTGAAATTTCTGTATGCAACTCTTTAGTTCTCAAGCAAGAAGAACAGGTTGAAAGAGTTAATTCTACAATCACAAATACTAAATCAGATACACAGAAATTCCATCCTTTTTGAAAGAACTGAATGAGTACCTAGGTACAGGATGTCACCTCAGCTAAAACATAGTAATGGGCACCCAAGTCTCTTCTACAAAGGAATTAATCAATTTTTAGTTTTTGTAATACCTGAATCTTGCAATGAAGACAAGTAGCAGGAATTAAAAAGCCTTAACAAAAGCATTGCCTACTAACAAATCACTTACTAAAAAAGTCTACCTATAACACATTTGTGTAATACAGCAGGTCATTTCTTTTTCAGATGCATACAGAAAACTAAAGAATAATGGATATAATTGGGAATTGGGAATAAATTTATTAAGGATTCTAATTAATTAATACTGCTCCTATTGCATCACATCTCACTCTGAAATAATTTGCATCATAAGGCCTATATACTGTATGTTTTGTATATATTACTAAATATTAGCGCCAAGGGAATTAAATGAACGAGCTTTTAACAAGTCTCTGTCTTTGTATGCATTGATGTAAATGGAGATGATGAGATTCTCTGCATATAGGTTGCGAACTTTTGTTCAACAACTGTTCAAAATGACAAATGAATGCTGAATGAATGGACTTGCCATCTGTGCCTGAAGTTACAGCCTTTGCAGCACTCCATGGTCACATGATCAACATTTGGGCACTTGGCGGCCCACCACAGTTATAACTACAGGGATGCTTCAACTACCCTCGCCTGACTATCTGCCCCCCTATCTATGTCTTTTTGATCTTCTGGCACTCCACTGCCCCAGCTGACCTTTGCCATATTTTTGCTCCCGCTGGATTTCAGCTATGGAAAAAAATAAAAGCCAAAAGCAGTCCCAGAGTTAAATGGTGCAGAAATGTTCCTTCGTGCTACTGCTGTGCTGCAAAAAAAAATATTGGGGGGGGGGGGGCACACAAGGATTTGCAGGACATTCTTCCAGGAGTGAGAAGGAGGGTGCAAAGGGGTCCCGGGGCACTCCACACTTTACAAGTTTCTTGCCACAGAGCATTTTGGCACACTGTGGCTCTGGAGCTGCTTTTGGCTTCCCCCTGTCTCGGCAGTTAAAGCTCAGCCTGGCCCTGTCCAGGAGCAAAGGGGTTTTTACGGCGGCACTGTGGCTTCAAAGTTGCTTTTCACTTTTAAATTATATTTATTTAGCAGCCTGACCTGGCCCAGCAGTCAGGCCAGGCACATCTCATTGGCATTGGGAGCAAGAAGACGGTAACCCTCAGCTCTGAGCAACAGGTTGCAGAGAGGTGAGGATGAATATAGTTCCCTGGTTCATGACAAGCAGCCCCAGAGCTACACGCACATTTTTTACTATTATTTTGGGAATGATCTGTAGTATGTACATAGCTGACTAGGAGCTGAGCCCTAATTTCAGTCCCAAATGGATGGTATCAAATGAAACATACTTGATTGCCCTGGAGTAAAGGCTTGACAACCTATGACACACCAGTTTTTTCTGAAAGAAGATTCATTGGTTCTTTTTAGGTGCCCCAAATTTTCACTAGTTTGGATCTACAAAAGCAGACACCTTTAAGACTTCTTTGGAATTAGAAACCTTCAAGTAAGCTTTTGTCCCACTGGGCTGTTTTGTTGAGCTTATACTGTATAACAATAACAATTTCATTACAAAGTGGTTCACAATAATATTATAAAACAACTGTAAAATAAATTAACTATTAGCCTGCTGTTTTACTGTGCTCTTAGAATGATCAATTAAAAGCAGCCAACTCCTCCAAAGAATTGTAACGTATAAACCACAAGGGTTTAACTTGTCTTCTACATGATAATTGAGAACATTTGTTTAAGTCTCTTGGGCAAGACTTTGAAGATATCCCTGGAAATGTATCAGTTATCTTTACCCACCAACTATAAACACCAGAAAAAGGGATAGAAATGTATACCGTACAAATGTAGAGAAATTTTATGCCCTTCAGGTGAAAAATGAATGGATAATAGTAGAAAATCAGGTTAAGACCAAATAGATAAAAAAATACCTGTCTAGAAACTACCAAATCAACTAATCTCTGAAGAGAAAATTGACTCTTAAAATATTACAAACTATGCACCTGATCACCTGAAGCCTAAACAACATGCATGCTAAGCAGCCACCAATATAGACACTTCTGTCTTCCCAGAATGTATTTAGTCCTCTAATCCAATTAACAGTTTCGTGTATCAGTTCAATACTTCTGTAAATGAGAAGGGTAAGTAAGAACTAAGTGTTATCAGACTATTGATTTTTGCCACTTACCAGAGTTATGCAGAAGACACAAATGCTGTATTGCAGGGGGTCCCCAACTCCTGGTCCATTGGCCAACATCAGCATCAGTCTGTGGCATACCAGATACTGGGCCACGCAAATAAGCGAAGCCCCATCCACGTGATGCAGGTAGCATGTGAAACCATGCCCTTTCTGGTCCGTGGAAAAACCTCTCTCCATGGAACCAGTCCCTGGTGCCCAAAAGGTTGGGGGGTGGTGGTGGCTCTGTTTTATTGTTTTGATGCATTGTTTGAAATTTCTATTTCTTCTAGCCATGTTATAAGACTTCGATCAGAGGTTTCCTACTCTGTGGAAAGAAGGAGAACCACAGTTCACACTCTATTATATGTTAAGCCAGGGGTCCTCCAAACCAGGGCCGCAGACAACTACCAGGCCTTGAGCCTTTCAGAACCGGGTCGCAGAAATGGCGAGCGCACGTGCATTCCCATTCGCGTGATCAGTGGGAAAACACATGCGCTTGCCCACTGCATGTAGGGAATAATTCCCTCTCCCCTTTCCCCAGTCAGTCGGCAAAGCCAAAAAGGTCTATGTTAAACTATCATTCATTGGTCATCTGAAAGGTACATGGCGTATCTCAGCAACCTAGCATTTCTGAGACAAGATCAGAATATAGATTGCAGTGGGTTTGATATTGGCTATTTCAATGAAGATCACAGGAAAGTATATATTGGACCAAATCAACCACAT